ATCAGGGGGGTTGGTGGTCAGCGGGGATGGTGGTCAGTGAGGCTGGTGGTCAGGGGGTTGGTGGTCAGCAGGGTTGGTGGTCTGGGACAGGGCTGCAGCCGAGGAGACGCTCAGGTCCCCTCTCTGTCCCACAGTCGTGCTGGTTGTGGTGTTTGGGATCTGCTGGGCCCCGTTCCACGCTGACCGTCTCATGTGGAGCTCCGTGTCACAGTGGTCGGATGGCCTGCACGTGGCCTACCAGTACCTGCATGTTCTCTCGGGCGTCTTCTTCTACCTCAGCTCGGCCGCCAACCCCATACTGTACAGCCTCATGTCCAGTCGTTTCCGGGAGACCTTCCGGGAAGCTCTGTGCTTCGGGGCCCGCAGCCGCCGCCTCAGACCCCACTGCAGCTCCCACAGCCTCACCAGGGTGACCACCCTGTAAGGTCCCCACGGGGCAGAGCCCCCTCTTAGGCTGAAGACAGTGGCCCTGGGGACATAGGAGACTGACCTCCCAGAAGGGCCTTGAAGGTGAGGCCTAGGGACCACGTGCAGTTTGGGGAGCCTTGTCCGACTACTTCAGCAGGGACACCTTCAGGATTTGCCCCTTTGAATTTCGTCCCCACTTCAGCCTGGGTGCTTATCAGCCCTGCAGTGACCTTCACCCACGTCTCTGAGATTGAGGATGTTCCTGAGAGAAAGGGAGTGCTCCCCAATTGTCGAGGGCCTTGTTGTACCTTCATGCCCCAACTGAGGTACACCCTGCCCTCAAGACCACAGGAACCCCAGTCCCCCTGGGTAGAGTGCCTCCTTACAGAAGCATTTAGTTTTAGACAAGAGATAAATGCTCACTGCAGAACTTTTGGAAAGCACCAGGAAGCAAAAATGAAGACAATTTTTAAAAACGAAAGATTACTTACAACCTTTGAGTCCCTGAGAAGATGTAAATGGTTAGCACACTCAACCCCTCACCCCAAGTTTGGGGTTCAAGTCCACTTACAGGTGCCTTGGAAGAAAGCCTGGTAATCTGCTTCTTTAAAACTTTTGTTGTGGAAATCCAAAGTCTCTGTAAACTTTCATTTAAAAATAAAAAAAAACACCTTGCCGTTGAAAAGCTTCCAGGGCACCGTCCTTCCAGGACACAAGTGTGGGGAGGGCGCCATCCTGCCAGGACACACAGATGTGGGGAGGGCGATGAGCTGGAGAGCCCCTGACTGCTTGTAAACTGATGCCTCTAACTTGACTCTCCAAAGAACACCGTCGTGCATGTTTTGGTGTGGTTTCCCCCTAGTAATGTCTGATATGGTTGCAATCACGGTCATCACCTAGTCTGCACCTCACCTTTTTCTCAGCTAAGCATAGAACTGGTAAATGCCACTCAGATGGACTTGGCCAACCCTGGGTGAGTCCCCTCAAACTTTTCCCAGGCCACACTGGGGTGACTTGAATCCAGCGAGACCTCAATCTTTTCTGGGCTCTGCTCACTGGGAAGAGACTAGGGTTTTGAACCTGTTTAGTCATGACTGACCCAGCAAAGTTGTAAGAGACTGGAATTTGTAAAATGTGGGCTGACTGGAATGACAACAGGAGTAAGGAAAATCAAAGTCCTGGGACTGGGAGTTCAGAAGAGGTGCAGTGTGAGCCCTTTCAGGAGTCTGCAGAGGAGGCTGGGTTATTGTCCAAATGTACGCAGATGAGGGTAGCTGGCCGGCGTCTTTGGGCAGGGCATCGTCCATCCTGCTGTTCTAGCTAGGAGGGAGATAGAAGTTTCTGGCAGGTGTCAAACTGTTATTTTACCATTCTGGGTATCACCCCAGTATAGCTACATTGTACAAATTTTGTTTCATTCTGGCTTTGCTACATCATTCCTCCCTAAACTGAGAAGGGGCTGGCAAAACCCTGACTGATGGAGACAGACAAGCCAGCCCGAGGCTGCCAGGGGCACCCAAGGGCAGCTCCCGTCCTGGGCTGTCAAGTATTAGGAGGCCTGGCTGGAGCAGCCACATCACATCATGCAAGGGTGTGCGAGGCCTGAGAGAGTGCCAGGACTCCTGGGCGCTGCGAGAGATGAGAGTTAGGAGGCTGCCTGGGATGGGCTTCGGGCTCTTAGTGGGCAGGCGAGGGGGCAGGTGTCACTGGGTGTGGTGTCACATCTCCCCCTGCAATGGCCTGGTCCACCACCACGCAGGCCCTGTGCCCCATCCCTCCACCACTGCCTTTGTGAGCTCCTTCGCATTGGCCAGGGTAGAGAGCTCAGGGCTCCTTTCTGGTAGATAGTGCGGTGGGGATGGGGAGTGTGATGAGTAATCATGCTGGGTGACAGACGAGAGGCCTTTCCCGCTAAAGGGTACTGACTTACTGCCATCCTTGGGGGGCAAGGATTTTGACGCTCTGTATGACATACTTTGGGCATGTTGCAAGGAGGGACCAATCCTTGAAGAGGGACATTGTACTTGGGAGGGTGGAGGGACAGCACAGGAGAGGATTGACATGAGGTGGATTGACACAGTGACTATGGCCAAGGGGGCAGGTATGTCAGAGACAGTGAGATTGGACACAGACTGCCTTGTCCTTCTCCTGAGGACTGATGGGTTCAGATGCTGACCGTTCCATAGGCATTGGAGTGCTTAACCACTGCACCACCAGAGCTCCTACCAGGCACCCACTCAGGAGACTAAGAGACACTCCATTTGATGATATGTATGTGTGGCTTGGCCTCACCCAGATGGACAGCGCAACTGGAGACCTGTACCAGGAGCAGCAGCACCACACCCCTGACCACCACTTTGTCCTGGCCGCAGTGCTAACAGAACTGAATTCCTGTTGTTGGAGCCCTTGCTTCCTGCCCATTCCCCAGCCTTCCCAACAACACCAACCACCTTTCAATACTTTCCGCATCTGCTTTGGTTGTGATGAGCCACTGTCTGTTGTTTGTAACAAGAACCTTAGCCGACCCATCTGTCCAATGGTTTGACACTTGCTGTTTGCTTAACTAATGATTTTTTAAGGAATTTTTTTAAAAAAATCACAAAGGTCCCTGGGTAGCACAAGTGATTTGCACTCGGTTGATAGCCAGGAGGTTGCCAGTTCAAAGCCTCCAGAGGTCCTGAGGAGGGAACAGCCCAGGGCTGCTTCTGTTATACTCAGCCATTCTGATTCTTGAACACTTGGGGCCTCTTCAAAGGACCATGATCACACAACAAAACTCACACCCCAATTCCAGTCTGTAATCCTTAGCAATCATCTCCTGTTTATGAGGGAAATCAGGATCAGCCTGAAGGGGTCCTAGGAGCATACTTCTGTGTTTCTAAAAGGCTGGTTAGAATAAGTGAAGAGCCTGAATGTGCTTCGCAGGGAAAACAGTGCAAAGGTTTGAGCACCGGTGCTGCCTGGTCCGTCTGTGAGACGACAACTGGCCTCGTTACCCTAACAAGTCAGGACAGTCTTGACCAGGGCTGACATTTCTAATGCCAAGTGCACTCCATCCTTGTCCATACAGAGAGTCAAGGCCAGCAGAGATGTCCAGACACAGAAGGCAGGCTTTTAAACCCGACATTCAGCCAGCGTGCTCCTTAGAAACAAGATGGTTATGAGACATCATCTCACCCCAGTAAGAATAGCAAAATTTAACAGAACAGCAAATGCTGGTGAGGTTGTGGAGAAACTGGAACCATTATTAACTGTTGGTGGGAGTGTAAAATAGTGCAAACACTATGGCACTTTCTCAAGAAGTTGCAAATAGAAATACCACTTGACCCAGCAATTCCACTACTGGGAATATACTCTAAAGAAACCATATTCAACAATGAATGAATTGAAATCCAAAATCTCTGTAAATGTTCATTAAAATTAATAAAATAAAATTTTAAAAAACCCATTAACTGACATCAAAGCAGATATATGCACACCCATGTTCATCGTGGCTTTGTTTACAATAGCAAGGAGTTGGAAACAACCCAAGAGCCCATCAGCAAACGAATGGATAGAGAGGCTCTGGTATGTTCACACCATGGAATACTATGCTGCATTGAAAAACAAAGAACTTAGGGGAGCTCTCGTGGCCTAGTGGCAAGGAGCTGCAACTACAATCGCAAAGGCTCACGGTTTGAATCCACCAGATGCTCTACCGGGGAAGGAGGGACAATCTCCTCCTGTACCAGTCAGATATGATTTGACGGTACACTCACACACAAAAATAATAAAATTAAATTTAAAAAAAAAGAACTCATGGAATATTATACAAAATGGGTGACCCTGGAGGACATTATGCTGAGTGAAGTATCTCAGCACAAAAGGACAAATATTGCATAGTATCACTGTTATAAAACGCGACTGACATCGGGTTTGGGGAAGAGACTGGGAAAAATAGGATAAATAATGTATACTGCATTGAAACAGATGAACTGTTTAAAAGGGATATGTGATTGGGTATTATTGTCATGACAGGAGTCCAGGCTGCACAGTGGAGTGGACCTGGGGGGAGGGCCTGTGTAACAATGAAAGAATTTTATTTTTCAAAGAGAAGAACGAACTGGGGCGTGGGGGGGGGAGCAGGTTGGACAGGAAGAAAAGGGCAACAATGAATGAATGGAAATCCTGTAAACTTTTCATTAAAATTAACTTTAAAATGCCAATTAAAATGTATTTTAATTTTTTTTTTAAAAAAAAAAAGCACACCCCACCCCAGTAAAAGGGATGTTAGCAAACCCGCCGCTTACGCCTCTGCGCGCCTGCGCATACGTGAGGCGGCAGCTCGAGATCCCGCCCCCAGCACGCACGTTTACGTCTCCGTGGAGGCCGCGATTGGCCTGATTGGCTAGCGTTTGACAGCGCGTGCTCTGATTGGTGAAGGCAGAGTCACGGGGGCGCAGCACCTTCCGGAAACACTTCCGCCCAGTGCGGGAAGCGGGTTGGTTGGTTGCGGAGAGCGCCAGTCCGGCCCCTGGGCCCTCCCGCTCCAGCCTCGTGGAGGTCACCTACGTTCAGGATTGGACCCTGCTCGACCCCAGCAACACCCCTGAGGATGGGGAGCCTTTAGGGACCAGACTCAGGATGTTTGGGGAGTGGAGGCTGTAGGTTCCGATGAACCCCCTGATTTGTGTGCGAACTTTGAGCGGAGCAGTGCTGGAAGCCGCCATAAATTTGCAGGGATTTGCAGGCCCTCATTTCGCGACTTCATTTTGCAACTATGTATTTCCACTTGAGTTGGTGGTGGTGGAAATTAGCCTTAAAAGGAAAAAAATAAATTCCTGAGTTATTTGAAAATACGTAAAGGAAACTGAATGAGAGAAAAAGATAAATTCCCGTAAGTTTGCTTTTGGATCCTGCAAACTTTTTATTTTTAGATCCTGCCCAAAAAGAAGATAGGAGTGTCTTGAGCTGCAACATACACCAGAAGTTACGGAGTGATGAAATATTCTAAACGAACCCTGCCATGAATTTATT